GTATGGACTCTGGATTGGAACCACAAGTATGGACTCTGGACTGGAACCATAAGTATGGACCCTGGACTGGAACTATATGGATATGGAGTCTGGACTGGAACTACAAGTATGGACCCTAGAATGGAGCCGTAAGTATGGACTCTGGACTGGAACCATGAGTAACCATGGATGGACTCTGGACTGGAAATCCATAAGTATGGAATCTGGACTGGATACCAAAGTATGGACGTATGGACTCAGGAATAAGGGAACCACAATGTATGGAACTATGGACTGGAAACTAAGTATGGACTAGACAGGAACCACAAGTATGGACTGGAACATAAGTATAGACTCTGGACTGGAACCATAAGTATAGACTCTGGACTGGAACCATAAGTATAGACTCTGGACTGGAACCATAAGTATAGACTCTGGACTGGAACCATATAAGTATAGACTCTGGACTGGAACCATAAGTATAGACTCTGGACTGGAACCATAGATATGGACTCTGGACTGGTTCCATAAGTATGAACTCTGGACTGGAATCTAGATGCATTTGAACAGAGAGGAGTATCCTATTCAAAGTATGTTAGGCTAGTAGTCACCCTCCATCTTGTACCTCTGCGAGAGTATCATGGAGACTGAAGTGTGTTATGTGAAACATGTCTGTTGAAAACCATTGTGTGGAACTGTTATCACTAACTAGGGTTAATCTACCAGTTGGGTCCAAAACTTTGCTTGTTTGGGTGTTCCCCTTAACATCGGAATTTCAGCCCAATTTGTAGGAAATTACCATCTACTACAGCTACCTTCTTCCGCTGTCAATGTTGTTAAAGAAGTGTAGGGATACACTCTTAGGAGTCGCTAAAGATTTGAGTCTCCCTATAGTCCTAGACAGCCAGGCAACACGCATTCTCCCAGACTTGCATTCTGGAGACAGTAAACAGTCCTTTAGCTTGGTTTTTTAAGGTGCTTTTTTAGAGGTATTAAACTTGGATGGGGTAAGGGGTGTATGGGATTACCAAGGAACAGTAAACTGAGGACAAACTCCATAGCAACTATGCACAAGTCCAAAGAACGGTTTCTCTTCTTGGAGGGCTCTCCAGCCTCTCCCGGTGTACCACTCCAAACCCCAGAGAATTCTTCTCTATTCAGCTGTCTGGAGGAATCCCTGGGCAAGGGGATCCAGTGCCTTCCACTTTAATATGAAACAGTCCCGGGTAAGGAGCTAATCAGGTTTCCCACCAGAATGCTCTTTTCCCCTTTAATTAGCCCAAGGGGTGAAGGTTTACTCACTCAGTCTCTTTCCTGTGAGTTGGTGTAGGTAGGTGGCTGCCTTCAGGCCTTCTGCTTTCCTGGATCCACGGGTGGTCCTCGCTCTGGGGGTCAGTGAGGCTGAGCGATCCTCCTGTGCAAGTCCCAGCCTGTAGGTAGGCCTTTCCGACTGGGCCCCCTCCCAGGCTCCTGCATCTTAGCCTTTCTCGCATCTTCCAACCGAACTCTCCTGCTTCTGAGTAGGCTCAGTCATACTTAAGGGCTGCTCTGGTCCTATGCCAAGCCTCCTGCTTGGGAATTGGCCAGAGTCACTTGAGTATGCATACCAGCCCCTCCTAACCCCCGCCCACTGCTTCTAGAATCTTCTCCAAAATTCTAGAGCAGGGAGAGGTGCCATGGGACTGATCTGTAGAGCCTCTCAGCCCTGACCCAAATTTGACCCTGTTGACTATTCACCAGGCTGCTTCTCAGCCTATCTAAAAAAATGAATCAGCTACCTCCCCCTTTACATCTGGTTCCCATCAGAGTGCCCCCTTAAATTAGATGTTCTCATCAGCGTGCCCCCTTACATCAGGGTCCCCATCAGAGTGCCCCTTTACATCAGGGTCCCCATCAGAGTGCCCCCTTACATCAGGTGTCCCCATCAGAGTGTCCCCTTGCATATAATTAGCTATCCCCTTCAGAGTGTCCCCTTACATCAGTGTCTCCATTAGAGTGTCCCCTTACATCAGGTGTCCCCAACAGAGTGTCCCCTTGCATATAATTAGTTATCGCCATCAGAGCCCCCCTTACATCAGTGTACCCATCAGAGTGCCCCTTTACATCAGGGTCCCCATCAGAGTGCCCCCTTTACATCAGTGTCTCCATCAGAGTGCCCCCTTACATCAGTATCTCCATCAGAGCTCCCCCTTACATCAGGTGTCCCGTCAGAAGATGGGACCAGAAAACTGCTGTGTACTGTGGAATGTCCCAAAACGTTGTTGCTTTACTTCTGATGACGCGGTTATGCCGTACGCTGCGCCCTATCGGCTTTCCACCGCAGTACACAGCTGTTTTCTGGTCCCATCTTCTGACAGCTGACCTCTGGACCTAGAAACTGGACGCCAATCACCTGCAGCACATACTAACTGCTTCCAGATACCATTGCATTGGACTACAGATGTGCCTTAATCTATCTTTTAAAATTTGAGTGTTCATTTACCCCATTGTTTGCAATGAAATAGCAACGGTCTGCACTCAGTGGCGCCTTCTTTCATTCCTTTTTTACAAAACAAACATTAAAATTTTGAGTATAGGGTTCAAATAATTATTTAGATCCAATACATTATACATGTAGACTTGATGCGTTTCAATAGATCTTCTTTAGGAGTATGTGATTGACCACTGGATGTTTGGGTGTAAAGGAAGGGATATTTTGGAAATGATACCCTATCCATCCTTGACTGTCCATCTTCCAGATATATATGGAATGGTGGCGCCTTCTTTCATTCCTTTTCTACATGTGACATTGGAGATGTGCTTCTGCTCTACTATGAAGGCTGCCTTAACCACTTCCCATCTGGCCGCTGTATATAACGGACGAACGGTGGCAGTCCAGGGGTGGGTTGCCGTTCATAAATGGCGCCCGCCATTTTGGATTGTGCTCACTCCCTGGGAGCGCGTGGCACCGCATTCCGGTGCCTGCTGTGTCCTCCGGACACAGCGGAACACCGATCGCTGTACGGGACCTCTGTGTGAGGTCCCGATCATGTGATCACTGATTGGCCAATTAGTGATCACATGAATAGGTGTAAGCAATATGTCACTTCTGACATCATTGCTTACTACGTGTGAAATCTGTGAATGATCACAGAGGTCACATGTACAGGTCTATTCACAACAGCCTTCTACCATGTGACAAGCTGTGACCAATCACAGCTCTCACAGTATTTCTCAATGGCTGCAAGAATGCAGCCAGAGAGAAGGAGAAATGATTGCTTTTACAGCCTTTATGGGTGTAAAAGCAATCAGTGTAAAAAAAAAAATAAATTCTTCATCACCCCCCACAAGAAGTACAGTGTCACTATGGTGACATTGTACTGCTAGGCTGACAGTATGTTAAAAAAAAAAAACATATAATATAAAAAAATAAAATAAAAATATAAAAAAAATTGTTGAAAAATTATAATTTTTAGTTATAAACTAATTTGGGGTATTGTTTTTTACTAAATAACCAAATAAATTTTGGCCAAGATTTATGGAGAAAGATTATTTATTTGCAAAATTTTATAAGAAAAACACTTTTTTAAAAAATTTTTGGACTTTCGTTTATATAGCAAAAAAAAATAAAAATCCCAGTGGTGAATAAATACCACCAAAATAAAGTTTTATCTGTCTCAAAAAAATGCAAAAAAATTCATATGGGTACAGTGTTGCATGACCGCGCAATTGTCATTTAAAGTGCAACAGCGCTGAAAGCTGAAAATTGGCCTGGACAGGAAGGGGGTGAATGTATCTGGACTTAAAGTGGTTAAGGTATTAACCATTTCGTGGTTCTCCGTGGTCTTTCCATTGGATCCACCAAGTGGCCCTTGTCCCCCTCCCCTCCATCATGCCCCTTTTTACCTTTCACCCCCCTGTGGGACTATGGACCTAATTATGAACATCTAATTTTGCGCCAACTCACCCCATGTATGCATAATGTTTGTTTTGTGTTGAGATGTTTAATGAATGTTATATGAAATGTATGTATGTTTTTTTTATACCCCCAGTGTTTTCTTTGTATCTATATTTTCCTCTAAAAGCCCTTGGCTACTACCAAGTGTCTTTGTACAGTATATGTTTATAATAAAGATTGAGCACGCAGTGTCTTGAACAATCCACTTCTATGGAACCAGTGCTTTGTGGAAGCTACTTTACATGTCTGGGAGTGAGGATCAGCATGGGAAGCCTAAGCACCCATTCACATAAACGTCTCAAAAGGCCAAGTTCCGATAACTGACGCTTGTAGTGTTGCTGATGTAGAGACGTTAATTGTGATCAATGGTGACAATGGAGACCACACTATGGTTTACCAATGAGAACTTTATTTTATTGCTGTCATGCAATGCGTATCTTTATGTAAAGTAAGAAGGAAGACCGCTCAAGACCTCACCATTGTACCTTGAGAACTTCAGTAAATCGTTGAAATTTTTCTTTTTCGTTTTGACATTTTGGAGGTGAGAGCTTCTGTCGGGTGATTGTTATCTGTATCCCCGTTGAGGAAATTTCCTTGACTTCTTGTTCCAATGACAACTATCATTAGGACAGAAAATCTCACTCAATGGAGACATGTTTCCTCATAAGAGTAGATCCAACTCTTTTCCACTATAATAAATAAATGGTTGATGCCCATGTCCTTGTTGGAGAGGATATCCCTCAATCATGAAGAAGCACCATAAATAATAAATAAAAAAAAGGAACTTCAGGAAATATAAAAATAAAGATCAAATCACAATAAAACTAAAACATTCCATATGGGTTGGCTGATCCTTCCAGCCTGCCTGATCTTCATCTACAGATGGACATACAGATTCAGCCTACAAAACTCCACCATAAGTTTTTCTGTGACCTCAGGTGGTGTGTGTTCTCTGGCGGATGATTAGTGTCACTTTCTGTGCAAAACCTTTGCCGCATTCTGAACAGGAAAATGGCCTCTCACCAGTGTGAATTCTCATGTGCTTTTCACAGTTCCCTTTATTGGAGAAGCACCTTCCACACTCGGAACAGGAAAAGGGCTTCTCCCCGGTGTGAATTCTCTGGTGTATTGTGAGTTGTGATTTGCTAGTGAAAGACTTTCCGCACTCAGAACAAGAAAAGGGCTTTTCCCCAGTGTGAACTCTCTGGTGACGAATGAGATCTGATTTGTAGATGAAGGAGTTCTCACACTCAGAACAAGAAAAGGGTTTTTCATTGCTGTGGATCCTCTGGTGTCGAATGAGATCTGATTTGTTTATGAAGGTCTTCCCACACTTGGAACAGGAAAAGGGTTTTTCACTGGTATGAAGTCTCTGATGTACAACCAGGTCATGTTTTTTTATGAATGATTTTTCACAACTCTGAAAAGATTTTAAATTAATAGCTGAAGAGTCCTCAGGACTAGAAGGATCTGGTGACTGACTTCCATTATGACAGCTTAGTTGGAAATATGGAATAACAGTACACGATTCATCTTTGGACTCTTCTGAATTAATCTGATTTGTTGATCTTACCATATGATTAGGTTTGTGATGTATTTTTTGAGTAATATTGCTTAGTCCTGGGGAATACTGGGCCATGCCACTATCTTCTTTATTATAATGTGGAGATAAAATGAGATGTCCCTCTGGGGTATTCCAACCTTTGTGTTCTCCTGTTGGAAATATTTATGTATCATGTATACTGATAAAAAATAATAACATTTATTGTTTATGTGTTACAGTTAGGAGTCATTTATGTTAGTCTAGTAGTCAACCGTTCCCCAGATCACTGGCACAGAATCAGGGTACAACAATGCAAGGATAGAAGTCAGATAAGGTGTATACTGCATCCAAAACCATGCTGGGTGAAGGTGTCCATACACTAATGATTAATGTATGGACCTTTCATATGTGGTACAATATCTCCTACTCATTTGTTGGGAACATGACGTTATATTGAGGAATGGAGATGGACCTTTTATATGGTGTCCGGTATCTCCTACTCATTTGTTGGGAACATGACGTTATATTGAGGAATGGAGATGGACCTTTCATATGGTGTACAGTATCTACTCCTCATTTGTAGGGAACATGACGTTATATTGAGGAATGGAGATGGACCTTTCATATAGTGTCCAGTATCTCCTCCTCATTTGTTGGGAACATGACGTTATATTGAGGAATGGAGATGGACCTTTCATATGGTGTCCAGTATCTCCTCCTCATTTGTTGGGAACATGACGTTATATTGAGGAATGGAGATGGACTTTTCATATGGTGTACAGTATCTCCTCCTCATTTGTTGGGAACATGACGTTATATTGAGGAATGGAGATGGACCTTTCATATGGAGTACAGTATCTATACCTCATTTCTTGGGAACATGACATTATAGTGAGGAATGGAGATGGACCTTTCATATGGTGTACAGTATCTCCTCCTCATTTGTTGGGAACATGACGTTATATTGAGGAATGGAGCTGGACCTGTCATATGGTGTACAGTATCTCCTCCTCATTTGTTGGGAACATGACGTTATATTGAGGAATGGAGATGGACCTTTCATATAGTACATATTATCTCCACTGCATGGCACGTGGTAGACATACACTGGATACTTTTATCATATCATAACAAGCCAATTTTATTCTTTAAATGAACAGTGCAGATAAAAATGTGTGTAACAGTTTGCTGATTTTTTAATCATTTTCTGAATTTTCATAAAAAATAAATGATTTTTTTTTTACATACAGTATAATACCTGTGTTGACATCTAGAGAAGATACCTCCTTGTTAATTGTCACCTTCGTTTCAGCTTCCTTTGTATACCGCTGGTTCCCCTTCACATAAGAATAATTTTCTGATTTAACCTCAGTTTTGATTTCAAACAATTCTACGTCCTAAAATCATAAAATGATGGTGAGCACTCTTATCCTGAGACTACATAGAAGAATATCATATAATACCATTTATAACCAAGTTTGAGTTCTACATGCTCAATCCCACCTACCTGATGATGGTGGGGGATGGTGTGATCTTCCTGTGTGGAATCCGGGGAATACAGGGGATGGGGAAATCTCTCTGGTGGGTTCCCATTACTGTATCCATCTGTAGGAAACACACACACTGACTGAATTGTTTCTATGTATTTATCAGATCATGGGGGATCTAGATTGATCCTCTGCAAGAAATGAAAGTCTCCTCTTACCCGGTGATGTGAGGAGTAGCTGATTCTCCATCGTGATGTCCTTGTAGAGATCCTTGTGTCTTTCTAAATATCTCCACTCCTTCATTGCATTATCCTCTGCTTCTCCTTCTTTTATCTCTTCTTTGATCCTAACTTTAAAATTGCTCCAGTTTCCATTCTAAATAAAAATAATAAAAAAGTAATAAAAGTGTTTCAGCTCTTCAATGGAGAGATCCTGACACCTTATAGGAAACGGACACACACAATAATACAGTCACCATCCAGACCCTTGTCTGTTACTGGAGAATGTCTCATAATTCCTGGTACTACTCACCTCTCCTGTTAGCAACTCAATGATCTTCTGGGTGACATCTAGGATCTTCTGCTCATTGTTTCTTTCTGGAATCAGTAAGGAATGTAGAGGGACCATAATGGAGTTCTCTCCATCTCCTGATGACTTCTTCACAACTATGTTATCCTGAGGGGAGAGATTATCAATCACTATATACGTTTTCCAACAAAAGAAGTTACAACTTGCTGCCATTATCATCCCTCTTTGCTACGATCTGATCAATGGCATCTGTCTTTCAGAGGTAATGATATATCTTCTCATATTTGAAGATAAGCCTCTGAGTTATTTCCAGTCACATTTTATCAGTTACTACTCTGCTAAGACAATATCAATCATTGTGCAGGACATCCAACTGCAACTTCCTCATAGTCCCTCTTTGTACTGATCTTATAAGGAGCTAATTTGGGGCTCCTTTTGATGTGGTGATGTAAGGAAAGGAATTTTTAAGGAAGAAGCCATGACCTTAGAGCAGGATCTCTCAACTAGGATTCCTCCAGAGGTTGCTAAGGGTCCCTTGATCAATGAGCAATTTCTGCCTCTCAGATAAGTTCCCACTGACACCATTGATACTTTTAGCTATCTAAAAGGATAGTATTACAGTTTGGGCTATGGGAAGAAGGAAGCACAGCTGAGACATTTTGCATGGAAACTTAGCAACTGCAAAAGAATAGTGACTCGATGAGGTGTTCAAATGCATCCAACTTCTTTCTTTTTGAAGTTTTGTTGGCCAGGACTTTCCAAAGCAGGGGTTCTCAACTAGGGTTCCTCCAGAGATTGCTAGGGGTTCCTCGATCAATGAGCAATTTCTGCCTCTCAGATAAGTTCCCACTGACACCATTGATACTTTTAGCTATCTGTAAGGGGGTAATTCTTCCCAATGACCACAACTGTAAGGATCATTCTTCCCATTGACCATCACACTAATGTATCATGAGTTGTAGATATAGTATTTTTTAGCAGGGGTTCCTTGAGACCAGAAAGGTATTTCAAGGGTTCTACTTTGTTGAAAAGGTTGAAGGCAGAGTGAGAGCACAGCTGCAGTGTACAAGTAATGTCAAATTGTGGTTTGGCAAACTCTCCATTTTGTGGTAAACCCCCACCTATCACAAAAGCCAAAAAAAGTCATGCAAAAATATTTACTTGGAAATTCTATATTTCTACCTGTAGTGAATAGCAAAGAAAGTTATTTTTTTAGGGCAAGTATCAGTCAAATAAAAAATTGAAACAAACATGTTGGTGGTGCTCCCAGAATCCTCCCTACCTCCCCGGTCAGCAGGTACATGATCTCCAGGGTGAGGTGTAATATCCTCTCTGTCAGGTTGGTGCAGTTTGCCTCCATTGCCTCCACTCTGCTCCATTCATTTCCAACAATAGTGCCCATCCCCCAATGGTTAGCATCGTGGGTAAAATGAAGGCTTTTCTGTGATTGGTTCATCTCGGCCATTTTGTTGTAGCCCGGCAGACTTAAAAGAACACACTGTTCATCATGAGTTAATGCTCACACCTGAGGACATCCATTAGTACCCACCGAAAACTACAGTTGGCTGAGAGTAGGATGAATTTCTGAGGCATACGACATGTTCATTTAGTTGTGTGCCAGCATATTTTCATATATGAGCTACAATAATACAGCTGCCACCATTGATTACCTATGGGAATGAAGCGTAAGGGTTACCTAGCATTTAAATCCTCTGCTGTCCCAATGACATTAAGTTCACCTTTGGAAGAGCCTTGCATACTCATTTGCCACAGTGCAAAGTATAATATGTGTGTAGGGTCCCTGCCTTAAACTGAAATGTCCCTAGTTAAAATTTAGTATTTGTAGCCATCCCGAGCTTTGTTTATGTTATTTGTGTTCAATGCGTTTTTCGCAAACCCAAGGACATCATCAATTTCTTTTTCTTCACCTTCTTCTGAAGAGTGTTCTCCAGCAGATAAAGTGAGCAGTTACAATGTGTGGGATTATGAATATTTTTCTTGTCCTGGGCAATCATTGAGGGGTTTAGATTGCAAGCTCCGAGGAGCAGGGCCCTCCTATCCCTCTTGTATTGAACTGTACTGTTGCTGTATTGTCTCCTGTTATATTGTAAAGCGCTGAGCAAACTGTTGGCGCTATATAAAACCTGTATAATAATAAAGCCAGTGACTTGAGCTGGCATAAACCTTCCAGGCTTTGTGGAATCTGTGTTTAGCAAGGTCTAGGCTTTTTTTGGAGAACATGTGAGTCCAGAGGTCTTTGCCTTCCAGGTCTGCCACCTGAAGAGAGTATTTGCTTCCCAGGCCTTTTGTCTGGAGTAGGAAGCTGAAGAAGCATTTGGTTCTGATAATTGCCCATCTGAACAGAAAGGTCAATAATTGGCCCATGAGAGAGGTCTGAAGAATCCTAACCTGCTATGTGGCCGAGGCTGGAGTTATGTAAAGTTAGTGATATGTGCTCCACTGACTGCAGTGGAGACACCAGGGGTCTCATAGACTCTTTTGTCTCCTCTGCACTTCACTGTAGGCCTTTGTTCCCCCTTCCATTCCAGGGGAAATTGTACTTGCAGTTTGTAACCCAGTGTTTGCCATTCCCTCATCCAACCCCTTCTGAAGGGAAATGTATGTCTTTTCTGTCTGTCATTTTGTTTTTCCCCTCCATTTTATATTTTGTACTGCATGTTGATTAATTGTTTTATATTATACCCAGAATGAGTTAATGAAAATATGCTGTGTCAGTTATGTGTTACAGAACTGTGCTCACACATTCTTTTGTTTTTTATCTTAGCTTAGCCTTGGTAGAGGCAGGGAAAGTGTCCAGTTATTTCTTTGTACTAACAGCACCTGTTTCTGCTATGATATAGTTAAAAGTCAAATACTTCTGTCCCATGGGAAAATAACTGTTGGTTACTTGTAACTGATTTCAAGGTCTGAGAAATCTCACGGTCACAGCCTTGACAAGTATCCAGCGAAATCCTATTGTATGGTTTTCTTTGTTACAATATAAGAAGAAGAATCTAC